TTCCTTGTAGCCCCAGCTGTCCTGGAACTCACTCTGTAGACCAGGCTGGCCTTGAACTCACAGAGATCTGCCTGCCTCTGCCTCTCAAGTGCTGGGACTACAGGCGTGTGCCACCACGCCCGGCTCCCTTTGGATACTATTAAAATAATTTCTCACATAGCAGTACTATAATTTGGGTCTGAGGTATTCCCAAAAGACCCATGTGTTACACCCTGGGTTCACATCCTGGGGCACTATTTGGGGGCTGTGAAATCTTCCAGAGATGGAGTCTTTTGGTAGGAAGTTAGGTCTCTTGGGGCATGTATTTAAAGAGGATTCTAGAAGCCCAGCTCCTTTCTCTTTCTCTTTGTTTCCGGTTGCTATGAAGGGAACAGTCTTCTCTATTACATGCTCCTACCTTGATGTATGGTGCTACCACAGGCCCCAAGCAATGGGACTAAGCGACTATGGACTGAAGTCCCTGAAGCCATGAGACAAACAAACCATTCTTCCTTTGAGTTTGTTTCTCTCAAGTGTTTTATCATGGATATGGAAAGCTGACTAGCACAAACAGTGAAACTTTTATGGTTGAAAAGAATAAAATAAAAATTGTGAGTGTTGGTTCCATCCAGAAGCATACCGGCAACGCATTAGTATTTTCATGCACACATATATCCTTACAGGGTTGAATTGCTATAATGCTATTGCATTCTTAAAATCCCACATATTTGTTTTGGATTTGAGTTGTGGGAAAGGATTTCACTTGGGTTTCCTATTTGTTGCTCTCTTGAAAGTGCTTGGATAGAGTCCAGAAATGCATCGTTCTTCTTAAGGCAGCAGAAGAGTTGGTAAACATTAATTATGGTTATGAAAGGTTTCCACACAACTGGTTTAAAGAGATCATATTTATACATTTATACATTTATACTATTTAGACATTTTCTTGTTTGTTACCCATTTTTGTCAAATTATCCTTTACTGAAATTGTTTCCTTTGTAGCAACTGCTACATATCTCTCTTGATACCATCTTTGATGTCAAGAGGATGTGGCCGTCAGTGTTACAGCTCATGCTCTGGGAAACACCCAGGATCATTGAAATGGTTCTTCACAGTTCTCTGGGATACAGAGATGCTGCATCTGTCAGGTACTATTTACATTATCATAGAAGGAGAGTTCCATGTGCTTAACATACATCTGTCACATCAGAGAAGGTGCTAACTCAATCTGGGCTTTTCCATCCTGAACTGTCAGTTCCACTGGCAGCCAGATGCTTGCAGTTACTGATTGTTTTAGCAACATCAGCATCACCATAAACTTTTTCTGGAGGTAGACTTGGTGGGGCAGGGAACTAGTGTGGGGTCTAGTGAAGGCACAGTACTGTATTAGCTTTCTATTGTTGTGACAAAGGACCTGAGAAAGTCAACTTATAAGACTGAAAGATGTGGTTTGGCTCAGAGGCTTCAGCCCATGGTCACTTGGGCCTATTGACTTTGGATCTGTGAAGTGGCAATATAGCATGGGGTGTGTGATGCATCCAGTAAGCATAGAGTAAGAGGAGTTAGAAATGCAATGGATGCCCCCAATCACATAATTCCTTCAATGGGATTCAACCCCTTGAAGGTTCACCACCTCCCAGTAGTGCTGTGGGCAGCTGGCAAAGTCTTCAGCTTATGAGCCTTTGGATAGCATTTGACATTCAAGACACTAAGTGTTCAAACCTCTATTCAACACATGTAAGATGAACAACTTTGATTTTCTTGAGGTTGAATTTCAGTATCATGATAAATATGATATAATATTATGTGAGCCTGGATGTTGAACCATTAAACAAAGTTATTCCTTTGTGTCCTCCAACCCAAAGCTGAAAGTCAGCATTATTCTTAACTTAAAAAAACTCATTGAATCTTTAGTACAGGGAACATCCCGATATAATGGAAATAGCAAGAACTAAAAATTGGCAAGCCTGCATCATATCTGAATCCTTTTCTCTATGATGACCCTTTGTCCTTTAGCCTATTACTTGAATTTTCTAAGCCTCACTTTGCTCAGCTGTCAAATAAAGATGGCTATACTGACCATGATCATTCTACAGGACTGTCTGGGTTATGGAAATACCACAGTGGATAAGTAATGCATCTGATAAATTACAATGCATTATATAATACAGTATTAATCATAACAAACATGAGTCATAATTATTTCTGAAAAAAATTCATTTGGGTTAGAGATACGGCTCAGCTGTTAAGAATTGGCTGTTCTTGCAGAGGACCTGGATTTTAGTTCCCAGCACCACATGGTGGTTAACAACTGTCTGTAACTCCACTTTTAGGGAATCTTCCTTTTCTTCTGGCCTCCATGGCCACTGCATGCATGTGGTGTACTTACATACATGCCAGCAAAACATTTATATACATAAAATAAAAATTGGCTTATATGTGAATGTCATAACTATATGAATTTACAGCTTTATGGTTATGCAGGCCATAACAAATCAGCATGCTCGTCACTTGATCAAGAAAACCTGCTAAATCCTCTTACTTAATATTTTAAGCAATTTTAGATTCACAGAAAAAAAATGAGTGAAAAATACAGAGCTCTGTTATATTTCCTCATCCAATCCTACTCCTAATTTCCCCAACTATCAAACTCTTGCATTAGTGGAGTGCATTTGTTACAACTAATGAACCTATACTGATACTTTATTATTAACGAAATAGGGGCCCACTCTTCCTACTGAACATTCCGTGGACGTGGCCAATGTGTAAAGACCTGTGTCTACCATTACAGTATCCACTCTTACCTAATAGCATCTATCACAATGTGCACTAAGGTTCCTCCATATCTTTTTTCTAATATTTTATTATTTTTATTTTATGTGTATGAGTGTATTGCCTGCATGTATGTAAGTGTACCTGTGTCATGTAATGCCTGCAGAGATCAGAAGAAGGCATTAGATTCCCCTGGAACTGGAGTTATGCATGGTTGTTACCCGCCATGTGGGTGCTGGGAATCAAACCTGGGTCCTCTGTAAGAGCAGCCAGTACTCAGTTCCTCCTCCTTGTCTTTTTTGTGGCTTGATAGCTCATTCCTTTTTATCCCTGAATAATATTCCATTATATGCACACATTCTAGTTTGTGTAATCTCTCTCTCTCTCTCTCTCTCTCTCTCTCTCTCTCTCTCTCTCTTTTAACTTTTGGAGATAGGGTCTCCCTGTAGCCCCAGCTAGCCTAGAACTCACTATGTAGACCAGGTTGGCCTTGAACTTACAGAGATCTGCCTGCCTCTGCCTCCCCAGTCCTGGGATTAAAGGAATGCACCACCACACCCAACTTTTTATCTTTTTAAATTTTATCTTTTTAATATTTTTGTTGATTCTCTGAAAATTTGGTCATATTCAGACCCCTGACCCTTTTTCCACTCAGGTCCACCCCTGCCTCCTTACTTCCCACTCACTTGATATCCTATATTATTATAGTTTTAAAACTTATTGAGTCTAGAGCCAAGCATGGTAGCACATGCCTTTAATTCCAGCACTCGGGAGGCAGAGGCAGAGGCAGGCAGATCTCTGTGAGTTCAAGGCCAGCCTGGTCTACATAGTGAGTTCAGGCCAGCTGGGGCTACAGGGAGACCCTGTCTCAAAAAGACCAAACAAACAAACAAACAAACAAACAACTAAACAAACCTATTGAGTCTAATTTGTGTTTTTCAAATGCTATTGGGTGTGGGTCCATCCCCCAGAGTCATATCAACCTACCTAGCATGACACTGCAAAGAAAGCCGATTTTCCCCCTCCCAGAAACTATCAATTGCCGATACTAATTCCTCAGTTAGGACTGGGGCTTCCTGCCAATCTCCCCCTTTCATGCTGGGTTTTTGTCTGGTTTGAGTTTGTAGAAGTCTTTTACATGCTATCCCAAGTACTGTGGGTTAGTATGGATAGTTGTATTGTTTGACTGGAAAACATGGTTTTATTGTATTCACCCACCACCTCCAGCTCTCACAATCTTTCTGCACCCCCTTCTGCAATGATCCCTGAGCCTTGGAAGAAGGTATTCTTTTTGTCTTTTGAAAAATATTTTGGTTGTTTCCAAGTTTTGGAAATGGTAATAAAGCTGCTATATGTGTACAGGTTTTTATGTGGATAGATGCTTTCAGTCCACCTGAGCTAAGAGGGAGATTGTTAGTCTACGTGGTCAGTGTGTGTTTAGTTTAGTAAGAAGCGATCAAAGCGTATTCTAAAGTGCACATACTATTTTGTATTCCCACTAACAGCAAAGGGGGGTTCTTTTTTCTCCATCTTCACCAACATTTTACTTTGGATGCTGGCCACTCGAACAGGTATATAGCCAACATCGTTGTTTTAATTTGTGTCTCTAATGACATAGAGAGTTGATCGTTTTGCCATAGTTTTACTTGTTACCTATTCATATTTGTTGATGAAGTACCTGCTCAGAACTCTTGCTCATTTGAGGACTGAATTATTTTCTTATTGTTGTTTTAAGATTTCTTTGTATATTTTGGATTTGGGCCCTATGTATGATGTGCATTTTGCAAATTTTTTCTTTCAGTTTGTCTTTGCATTCTGTTGATCTAATGTATTTTAAATGATCTAACAACACCATTGTCCAATTATTTTCAAATGCTCAAAACATTCAAGTTTACAGTTGTAAAGAGAAGGCTGAAGAATTCCAGTGGTTCCTGTTCACTTTTGGCTCCTTTTGCCGATGCTGCATTTGTAGAATGGATCAAGTCATCAAGCCCAAGGCCCGACTCAACCTCAGACCTCACCTTCTTAACAAGATCATCACTGCTGTGATCTGAGTCGGCTGGTGGCTGGTCCAAGTTGGCTGGGTCTGGCTGAGCTGATTGCAGCGGCTGACATTTTTGCTGACTAGAGTCATACTATCTTTGCCAGTTTGCTGGAATAGACACAGACGCGGATTGGGTCACCCTAAAGACATTCCTGTGTTGTGAAGCAAGTCCGTTTGTATTTTAGGTTTGCCAGGACTAATGAATTAAAACATTTGGACTCTCTGCAACTTGCTGTTTATCAATGCTTCTGACAGGAGGAGGGCTTTTCTTTTGCTCCTGCTTTTTCTAGAAACATGACAACATCCTGGCCGTTGGAGTAGCACGGAAAGGAGAGAGGGGCTGTGGGGGGAAGCGGAACAGGGAGGTCCCGTGGGATCGGACGCTGGGGTCTGGGGCAGAGCAGGTAGTAGCTTGTAGTGCGGACAGCTGTCTCTGCCCCTCAGAGCTTTACTGGCTGCTATGCAGCAGGTGCAGACTGGTCTCTCTCTGAGTCTTGACTCCACAAACGCAACGACTGGCCAAGGCAGTGGCTGGCCCTGGATTACACAAGTGCAGACTCTCAACTAAGTGAGGTAAGGCAACAGGTGTGAAAACTCAACTAACCGCTCAGAGCACCGGCAACTTAACTAAAGCTCTGTTACAGCGGCTGGCCGGGAGAAGCAACCAGCAGCTTGTTTCCCAGGAGGTGTGATGAAAGGCAAGTTGCTTGAGTAAGGGGTCTTGGAGTGGATGTGTGTAGAACTCAGAATCCTCCCAACCTGGACATCATCCTTGGGAGGCAGACATATGTTTTCTCTTGTGCTGTCCTTAGCTGTGTTTTATCAATTCCATTTCTTTAGCTGGAAACCAGAGCAGAAAACTGTTTAGAAAACTCCAGAGGCAATTTCTACTTTTTGTGCTTTATTTCTTGATGCAGGGAAGTATGGAAGGGTTTACCTAAAGAGTACTGAGTTTCCATCCTTAGAGGTCATGAGCAGGTTGTAAGATGCCGACCAGTAAGACTTTTCCTTTCTGCTACAACTTTGGGAGATTTTGTTTGTTTTGCTTAATTTGAGACAATCTGTGCTATTTCTTCAGGTTCAGGAAGCTCAGAGAACTCTTAATTCTCAGCAAAACCACATAGAACTGTATCAGGATTTTTAAAAAGTGCAGGAAGTCTTATGTCAAGTAATACCATTTTATATTACCCTGTGCCGTAACTGCTTCAGGCTGTCGGTTGGAAACTTAGAATTACGTGGCATGATGTGTAGAATGCTTAGTGCTCCCAGCTATTTGTAGTGGTGAATGAATGGGCTCAGCAGGAGTCTAACTGGGTTGTAAACAGTTGCTGTATTTTTCCTTCCAAGCTTTACTAGATGTTTAATACAAGCTTTATTTTTCCTATTCAGTAAGATGATTCAAAATAGTGAATACGCTTGCACATGTTATACGGTGAATTTGGCTGTATACATAATTGTAAAAACAAAAGTCCATGCTCTGGATACTATTTTTAAATATAGACAAGCTATGGGAAAGAGTCAAAAGCCTGACCATGAGAAAATGCCCTGCTGAAGCGGTTCCCAGAATCCTGCCAAGGATGGCTAAAGACGTTTTTTATATTTTGGCATTTTTGGAGACATTTTCCTTAAAAGATCATTCAGGTTTCTTGGTTTCCTGCCTAGATGATATGGAGGGGAAAGAGTTTAGGAGAGGCATGACCAAAAATAGAAATGTTAAAGCTATGTATTTGAATAATAATCATATCATGTGTTTTTAAAATAATTTTCCTAGTCCTACTGAATATCAAATTATCAAATATCATGATCAAAATATATATGGGTTAAATTCTTTTAAGAAACAGGAATAGTCACACGTTTTTCTCTTTCCCTCTTATGTACAGGATGCTTTCTACTCACTGAATCTACATTCATTAAGTAAACGATAATTTAATAGGTAGAACAAAACACCCATACTTTAAGTTTTGCCTTTTTTTGGACATAGGGTCCCATGAATTCCAAGCTGGCCTCTAACTCACTATGTATATAATGAAGATGACCTTGAACTTCTAATCCTCCTGCCCCTACCTCCCAGATGCTAGGATTCAGTGTGAGCCACCATGTCCAAGTTTTCTTTTTTGGTTGTATCATGGTGTTAAGAGGTGAAAGCTTAGGTAGAAATGTTTGATAGATTTTCAGGCCATCAGATAGTTAAAGCATGTGATATTCATGATACACTGTAAGATGTTTTGAAATGGTTTTTGCCTTATTTTAAATGATTCCACTGCATTATTCTATACTACTTAAATAATGAAAATTTGAGTTTAATTTAGAGTGTATGTATATGTGTGTGTGTGGGGGGGGTGTGCTTCTGCACGTGGAGGCCAGAAGTCAACCTTGGGGGTCACTCCTAAGGAGCCCTTTGCCTTGTTTGTTTAGACAGGATCTCTCAGTGGGACCTGGGGCTCGTTGCCAATCGGGCTAGGCTGAGTAGTCAGGGAGCCCCAGGGGGTTTACTTATCTCTATTTCCCCAGTGCTGGAATTGCAAGTGTGTACCACCACACCCCCTGTGTTTTCTATGAGTGCTGGGGTCAAACTCAGATCCTCATACTTGCGGCAAGCACTTAGCCAATGGAACTATCTCCCTATCCCCTAATTTAGGCTTTTATGCATGAAAAAGTAGCTTAATCTGAAGCCATTTCATACTCTTTGAAGTCTGAATTTTCCTTATGGTTTCAGTTAAAAATAAGGTCACTTTATGTGACCCTCAAAGAGATATTGAAGCTATGCAGTAGGGGTTTTTGTTTTGTTTTGTTTGGTAGGGGGGCAGGGTCTCCTTGTAGCCCCAGCTGGCCTGGAACTCACTATATAGATCAGACTGGCCTTGAACTCACAGAGACCTACCTACCTCTGCCTCACAAGTGCTGGGATTAAAGGCATGTGCCACCACGCCTGGCTGAAGTAGGGATTTTTTAAAAAATCATATTTGCCAGGTGTGATGGTGCATGCTTTAATCCTAGCAGATGCTAGCCTGGACTGCTTATGGAGTTCCAGTCAGCTGGGGGTATAGGGAGACCCTGTCAAACCAAAAACCAAAACCCAAAAATATCATATTTCATTCATTATGGGTGAATATTGCCAAAGTAATTTTTGTAGAAGCCAGAAAAAAGGAAGCTTGCTAACTTTCCCTTCTGATTTCTGGTGGTCCCTTGAGTGTCTTAAGTGCAATGCTGGGTAAAATAACAATGGCTGTCTCTTGCCCTTACAGCTGGAAGACCCAGGAGAAGGCCGGGCCTCAGGTGCCCACATGATCAGCACAGCCAGGGTACCTGCAGATAAGCCAGTACGCATTGCCTTTAGCCTCAATGACGCCTCAGGTACGCTCTGCTGAGAGGGCAGGACTGCCTCCCTCACCTCCAAAATTTTACTGTACTTTATGATTCCTTGCAGACTGTTAACAAGGCATGTTTGCGTGATCTGATGAGAATGCATGTGATACTTCCTCACAAATGGTCAGACTGTGACTTCCGGAAATGCCTGTAGCCATGCCTTCCCCCATTTCGATTTGGTTGTTTTAGCTCATTTCTCCTTTTTCTTTTTCTCCCATTTCCCATTTTAGTTTTCTTTTAGGATAAGATTCATAGAGCTTTAACAATTTCTAAGGATAGCAAACTGTGTCATTGTTAAAACAGCATGAGGAAATGTTTATTAAGAGCTGGCAGTTGGTTAGGTAATATAAAAATATCACTGCCCGATTTCAGTCACGTGTTGAAGCCTCAGTGTGAGACGCTGGTTTCTCATGGGTGTTCCCACACTTCCGGCTAAAGAGACAGACCAGGAGGACTGGTGAAGGAAGCAGGTGAGGCACGGCCTCTCTAAATAGTAAGGCCTGAGTGAGGCTACCATACTTAGAGCCTTTCATTGTGGGTCTCCTTGGCGACCTCTTAACACAGAGACTCAATTACACCATTTTTGTACAAAGGGTCTTATGTGGAGGGAGGTCACAATGGCTGGGAAAAGAATGCCTGGTTTATCCTCACTGACATTAGCCGCTCCTAGTTTAATGTCATCTATTAAAACCACATACTCAAGCCATTACCTTTTAAAACCTCATGTCTTTTGAGGACTCACTCTCTCATTTTCTCTCTGTTTCTCTCTCTCCATCCATAATACCCATGTAGGAATGATATTTTGAAAATTAATGTTTGAAGATTGGGATTGGGGTGATAGCTCAGCCAGTAAAGTGCTTACTATACAAACCTGAGGATCTGCATTCTGTTCCCTAGAATCCATGTAAAAAAGCTGGGCTTGTAAGCCCAGCACTGGGGAGGCAGAGACAGGAGGCTCCCTTGGACTGTTTTCAAGCCAGCCTAGTCTTGATGAGTTCCAGGCCAGTGAGAGACCCTGTCTCAAAAAACAAGGTAGATAGCACCTGAAGGACAGCATCTTAGGTTGTCTTCTGGCCTCACATGCCTGTGCACACATATGCACGTACACATGATAAAAACTGATGTTAGAAAAGGGGCAGAATCAGCTGGGCTGGTACAAGCCTTTAATCCCAGCACTAGGGAGGCAGAGGCAGGCGGATCCACTGTGAGTTCAAGGCCAGCCTGGTCTACAGGGTGAGTTCCAGGCAGCTGGAGCTACAGGGAAACCCTGTCTCAAAAAGCCCAAAAAAGAAAAAAAAAGAAAAGGGGCAGAATCATTCCAAAGTAATATGAAGGAAGGAAGTTGGCTCTGTGAATTCCAATGTGACACAGCCAATATGCCTGGAGTTTCCCGGACTGTGACCATCAATGGCGGCTGCACTAGAGGAGAAGAGAAACCTTGGCTCTTCATTGTATATTCTTCTGACACTTCTTTCGTGATCTGATTCTATCTATGATCTAATAGAATTGTTTCTATTAGACGATGGTGAGAAGAAACCCTCCCAGTAGGAAGAGTCGCTCCAACATAGAAACATCAGCTACCATCGAGTGATTCTCTTTGCATTAGAAATTCACCTATGTTATTTCTGATCATTGAAACAACCACACAACAGGAGCTGGAGAGATGGCTTGGTGGTTAAGAGCACTGACTGCTCTCACAGAGAACCTGGGTTCAATTCCCAGTACCCACATGGCAGATAATAATTGTAACTCCAGTTCCAGGGAATCTGATGCCCTCTTTTGACCTCCACAGGTATTGCATGGCACAGGTACACCTACACACATCGAGGCAATATACTCATCACATAAAATAAAAATAATGATATTTAAAAAACACCACATAACATAGGCACAAACATTCCCTATTTACAGAGAGAAAGAGTGAGACTTAGGGACCACACTGTTAAACAGTGGAGAAATGATCCAAACTCAGGTCCTTAGACTTAGCAATCCAAGGACTCTTCATTATTTCTTGTTACTTCTCTAAAGGAAATAAGGAAATCCCTCCAGTTTGCCACTCACTTCACAGCTCCAAGATTCCAAGGAACAGTCTGTATGCAAGTCAGTAGCTCTCAAGACACACATGCAAATTCACACTCCAGGAAGAAAGATGTCTAATTTCCTTTCTTTGTCTCATGTTCTATAGGAGTAGACCATGTCCCATTGTATCATCAGGTTTACAAAGAAAATTTCAGTATATAAAGCTTGCTTTACCCAAGTAATACTATTACATGAGTTGAACCAGATAAATAAATGTATAGACAAGAACTGTAGAGAGTTGCATCTTGATCTTTGAGATGCATGAATAAATTCTTCCTTGAAGATGTATAACTTGTAATTCATTTAACACTATCTTTGAACTCTCTTAATTCTGACGGAAAGTTGTTGAATATTTTTATCAATGCATTTAAATCTTTCTTCTCTTTCAAATGTTTTTAGGATGCCCATTTTTGAAATTCACATTTCTTAATAGATCTCTTTAAAAGGTTACAAATTATTTTAACTGATTCTTATACTATATTTCTACAAAAAGATGCTTAGGAAGACTTAGAAAGAATCTATCAAGATTAAATATTTTAATCTTATAATCAATGTGTCTCATTTTCTCTAGAAAGGGCATGTACCTAGAGAACCTAAGGCAGTTCACAGTGTTTCTCAACCCTATCTGATCAAAATAATCAGTGGGAAACATTCATCAAAAACACATGTTCACAAAAAAGAGAAGGACATGATGTTGGGAGGAAGATGTGTTAGGGACACTAGGGAGAGTTGGAGGGAGGTGGTGGTGGATAGATATGATCAAAATTCAGTGTACAAATGTATGAAAAATTTAAAGAATAAATTAAAATGTAAGAAAAAAGACCCCTTGTTCCAAGGTCCTACTCCTACATAGTCTGATTTTAGAGGCCCCTTTCTCTATGAGGAAAAAGAAAACTCTGTTATGTGTTTATACATTTCAGAAATGCAACATTTCAAGAATTAGTCAGAGCCCAGGACTCTGAATTTTTCCATGCACATTAAGTTGTTAGTGTATAAAAAATGTGTAGCAGATATTTGGGGACACTCCCTCTGAATTCTTGAAAAAGGAGCATGTGGAGGGCCACACAGACACACCAACACCTGCCATCATGCAGGCTGTGCGTGCCTTTTGAATTCCAGTGCATGTGGTCTGTGGACCACATGTTTAGGAGGAAAACAAAGGAAAATATCCTTTACTTTTATAGAAAGCAGGAGAGGGGAAAGTGGACTTTGAGAAGTAATCCCACACTATTGGATGTATGCTGATGAATATGCAGTCTAAGAGGAAGAGGGCGCTTGTGAACACTGATATGTTCATTTCTCTTATTGAATATCATCTATTCTTTGACAGTTTCAGAAATGTATATAATGTATCATGATCATATCTACTCATTTCTTTCTGTCTCTCTTTCTTTAACTTGGTTTATTTGAGACAGGGTCTCCTTGTAGCTCCAGTTGGCCTAAAACTTGCTATGTAGAACAGGCTGGCCTTGAACTCGTGGAGATCTGCTTGCCTCTACCTTCCAAGTACTGGGATTAAAGGAATGTGCCACCATGGCCAGCTTCCATTTACTTTTTAAAAAAGATTTATTTATTTGTGCGTGTGTGTGCACACTTGAAGACTAGAGGTGGGTGTTATATCCTTTAGAGCCGAAGTTACAGAAGGCCCAGCTTGTTATGTAGGTGGGGATTGGGATCTGAACTCTAGTCCTCATGATTTTGCAGCAAATGCTCTTAACTAGTGAGCCATCCCTCCATCCTTCATACATTCTTTTTCTTTCTTCTTTTTTTCTTTCCTTTTTTTTTCAGTCTTTTTGAGACAGGGTCTCCCTGTAGCCCCAGATGGCCTGGAACTTGCTATATAGACCAGGCTGGCCTTGAACTCACAGAGATCCATCTGCCTCTGCCTCCTGAGTGTTGGGACTAAAGGTGTGTGCCACTATGCCTGGCTATTTATTATTTTTTAATTTTATGTGTATGAGTGTAATACCTGCATGTAGGTGGGTACAATGCCCATGTAGGTCAAAAGAGGGTGTTGGATCCCCTGGAACTGGAGTTAAGGACAATTGTTAGCCTCCATGTGGGTTCTGGGAACCGAACCTGGGTCCTCTGCAAGAGCAGTCAGTGCTCTTAACCGGTGAGCCATCCATCTCTCCAGCCCTCAATACACTCATTTTTTTTTTTTATGAGTTTAGTCTAGTTAGTACTTGTCCCTTCCACTAATTTTAGGAATTTTTTGGCATATATTCCTGAGACAATTTAGTGTAGAACTTAAGGGTTTTGGACTTAGAGAAGGGTGAGTTCTGGGTTCACCTTCATCATTATTCGTGAGATCTAGGATAATAGGATAAGCTAGCTATCCAATCTTGTTGGAATTCAGCTTTCCAGAGATGTGTATGGTGGTAAGAATGAAATGCCACCTTATAGGTGAAGCATTGAGCAAGGTGCTTGACACAATATAAATGTTCAATTTGTCCCTGTAATTATGGTCATTGATCCTAGAGTACTGAGGCAAATGTGAACTAGTAAGCGGTATGTGCCCCAACCTTCTCTCTCTCTCTCTCTCTCTCTCTCTCTCTCTCTCTCTCTCTCTGTTTTCATTAAGAAAGATTCAAAGGTACAGCATCAACCTAGCCTTGTTAATATTTTATTTTAAAAAAATCAAGTTTTTAGAATTTTTTCATATCAGGGCACAAATTGATCATATAGCATTTAGTTTAAAAATTTCAAGGTGAACTCTATCAGAGTCTTTTTTAAAATATTACATTTTTCTGGTAAAATTCAAGTGTTTTGGGGCTGGAGAGATTGCTCAGTGGTTAAGAGCACTGACTGTTCTTGTAGAGGAACCAAGTTCAGTCCCCAGTACCCACATGGTGGTTAGCATCCGTCCATAACTCCAATTTCAGGGGATCAGATTTCTTCTTCTGACC